TCAGAATCTTTGCATGTGTAGTTTCTAAGTCTCACAATCTAGGTCTACCTCCACATGTCCAAATTCTACTCATTTTTCAAGTTTAAGTTCTACAAGTAAGACTTCAGTGAATGTTTTCCTGATGGCCTTTTTTATACCCCGTAAATAAATATAAATATTATTTATTAATTAGAAATAAGAGGGGCTGGGGGCAGTGGCTCATGCCTGTAATCCCAGCACTTTGGGAGGCCGAAGCGGGTGAATCACCCAGCCTGGCCAACATGGCGAAACCTCGTCTCTACTAAAAATACAAAAATTAGCCAGGCGTGGTGGTGGGTGCCTGAAATTCCAGCTTCTCAGGAGGCTGAGGCAGGAGATTCACTTGAACCCAGGAGGCGGAGGTTGCAGTGAGCCAAGATCGCACCATCACACTCCAGCCTGGGCAACAGAGACAGACTCTGTCTCAAAAAGAAAAAAAAAAAGAAAAAGAAAACAAGGAAATAAGAGAAAGGAAGAAAGAGAATAAACCCAGTTTAAGTTCCCCATTTTTTGAAATTTTATTCTAGTGCTCTGCCTCTTCTACCATACTGATTACCACCCTTACATAAGTACAATCAATAAGTATTGAAAAAATCTAGATAATGACTTATAATAACAAAAATTAATTTATTTTTAAAATCCTCAACAATACCAATAGGTTTGTTAATAAATCCATAAGTTGTGTTGATTCACCTGGTAGTCAGGAAAAGGGAATTTGAACTGTCATATATTTATTACTTATTTGCTTCCATAAGTTGTGTTGATTCACCTGGTAGTCAGGAATAGGGAATTTGAACTGTCATCTCAGGAGAAAATTCTGCCTAGGACAGTCTGGGCAATAAGGTTATTATTTTTCAGGACCATAACCTATAGCCTTCTCTGAGTGTTCTTGAAAGAAGTCAAAACACCAAAGATACATTTGACCCGAGAGTAGACCAAGCCAGATAACTGTATTAATGAGGTGAGTAAATATTACATTTATCACTGCTGCTTAGTAAACAAGGGGCAAAAAGGCTTGTCTGAGCTCCAGATTTTGGGGAGCAGGTATCCAAAGAAGAGTATTTCTAAAATTAGATTATTCTGTAGAAGAAAAGCCAGTAGTCCTATAACCCATTAGGTTTCACATGTGATTTTCACATCTCTCCAGTTCATTCTTACACCTAGTAAGAAAGAGGGGGTTTCTTATTCCCAATTTACAGATTAGAAAAAATGAGGCTCAGATCATCTTAGAGAGACTTGTGCAAGAGCTCTTCAAATATAGTTCTTCCTCTGACCAAAATCTCACACTTTTTCCCACAATGTAATATTGCTCTAGAAAAATGTCTTCATACAACTGCAAATTAAAGTGTTTACATTTATCAAGGATCTATATAAAATACTATATATATATATATATATTTACACACAACATTTTGACTAGTGTTTTTTTCCTCTACTCTCTCTCTCCTAATTATGTACTCAGGGAAATCTCATGACATTCACCCCTTCTTCCCATCTCGTCTTTCATATGACGTCCACCCCTTCTTCCCATTTTCTAAACCAATTTTCTTTTTCTGGGGACAGTAAAATCTGTTGGGCACAACACCGTACAGTGGGTGCTATACTTTCTTCCAGGTGTGAATTGCTTTTAGCGAGAGCTATAGCTCTTTCTAGGCACTGCCACTTTTGCTTGGTCCACATCTGCTTCTTGAGAGCCTCATGTCCATTGCATAAAGTAGCTGTTTCTACTACATTCTGCCATGTTCCAGCCACCCTTGTACACTATGTTCACTAACTCCACCATCTCCACTAGACCCTGTAAGCCAGTACCATTGAATGTTTTTGTTCAAGTCCTGGAAAATTCACTGGATAGAGTTACGTAATTATTTCTCTTACCCTTTTTATATTTTATTCAGTTAGCAGTATATCAAATTATCAAAGCAATAATACCCTATGCCTCAACTAACCTACAGAAGTTTCACTGAAAATAATTGTCTTATTTATTACCTGTTTGCTTCCTGTCTCGGAGCCAGGAACAAGTTTATGAAAGACCTCTTTGCTGTGACAATTAAAACCTCATTGATCAAACAGTCCTCACTCATTCCTTATCTCTTCTCTTAGACATTTTCTCCAAACGCCTCAGTTTCCTAGGCAGATACCTGAAAGCCTTGCCCCCTCATGGTTTACATATGAATTGATATAAAACATGGCATTACAATGAACAATTAACAGGCTGTATTAAAGAGAATTCACTTGTTCTTGACTTGCAGAAAAGTCTCTTTAATGTGACTCAAACGTAATGTTTTAAGATTACATTTCCTTTTTTCTACAGATCAAATTTCACTACCTGGTTCTGCAGTGAATAATATTTGCCTTATCCTAATAATGTAAACACTGCTGAATTTTATTTTTTCAAGTTGTAAAAGCAAAGCACAAAAGTATCAAATCTGGGCCGGGCACAGTGGCTCACGCCTGTAATCCCAGCACTTTAGGAGGCCGAGGTGGGTGGATCACCTGAGGTCAGGAGTTTGCGACCAGCCTGGAGAACACATAGTGAAATCCCGTCTCTACTAAAAAGTACAAAAATTAGCTGGGCATGGTGGCACATGCCTGTAGTCCCAGCTACTTGGGAAGCTGAGGCAGGAGAATCGCCTGAACCCAGGAGGCAGAGGTGACAGTGAGCCTAGATCACGCCATTGCACTCCAGCCTAAGCAACAGAGCGAGACTCCACCTTTCAAAAAAAAAAGGTCTCAAATCTATAAACCATGGAAATGTTAAAATGTTTAAAATGAGAAAACTCTTATGAACCAGGAGACAGGAGAGAAGGAGAGATGGGGGTAAGGTTGTATTATGCAAGAGCAAACACTATATCTTTTGTTTTTGGAATCACCTACTACTGCTGAACACTGATGGATCAAGAAATTGAAAAAATTATGTTTATTTCTCAAACTTATGGGCAATGGAGTGAGTAGTTGTAGGTACCCACAAGAAAAACGCAAATCAGAGAAGGTAAAGTAAGTCACTTCTGGCAGTGAATCTGCAATGAGGAGGTGGAATAGGAGACTTACTTTTGATTTTATGCTCTGCCTGCCATCTTATGAGAATATTTTAGGGATTAAGTCCTTGGGTTTGCTTTAATAGACTTTAATAAACTTCTTTTTCATTTTCTTATGGAATTCACCTATTCTAGTGATACCCTTGAACTACAGGTTAAGGAGCAACAGCCTGTTGTAACACACAGCAGGGATCCCCAGAAGTTTCTCTCACTCCATGTCTCTGACAGGCAAGAAAGCAAGAAAGATCAGTCACTTGTTGCCATGATGATGCCTAAAGATCAGAAACTAAACCTTTCTTTTTTCTTTTTTCTTTTTCTTTTTTTTTTTTTTTTAAGACTGAATCTCAGTCTCTCGCCCAGGCTGGAGTGCAGTGGCGCAATCTCACCTCACTGCAACCTCTACCTCCCGGGTTCAAGCGATTCTCCTGCCTTAGCCTCCTGAGTAGCTGGGACCATAGGCGCCCATCACCACATCCAGCTAATTTTTGTATTTTTAGTAGAGACAGGGTTTCACCATGTTGGTCAGGCTGGTCTTGAACTCCTGACCTCAGGTGATCCACTATCTCCCAAAGTGCTGTGATTACAGGCATTGAGCCACTGTGCCCAGGCTAAACCCTTATCTTACCCTGACTTCTCTACCATCACCTCCTCTGCCTCATTACCCATGCTATTTGCCAGAGCCCAAAAGCAGGTCCAGTGACGGCCTCTTGTGATTCCCAAGCAGTACAGTTACTCAGTTAATTATAAACATGCTTTCATAAAATGCATAGCTAAATCCCACGCTCTCCACGAAAGAAAATTTTGTAATGTAGCTAAGTAGAAACATGACACAAACTTGATGAAGAAACATGGAAATCCCCATATGAAGAAAGAGTGCTGCCATCAGTCATTTTCTGGTGACTGGTGACTGCGCTGTCTGACAACTTACCTATGCACTGCTTCATCACTTGGGGGCATGCCATGCACCATTACAGCCCTTTGGGGCCACTATATTCATGTTAATAAAAAGTATACATAAGAAAATTTGCTCTCTTCCAAAATTATAAGGCAAGTGTTTGTTAACTAACCAGTAGCCATACAATTTTTATATCGTAACATCTAGGAAGCCCTAAAAAAAAGGCATTTGTTGACAGAGAAACTACAAATACATGATCAAAAATGGTCAACTGAATCACCATAGAGATGAAGGGTTTTTTTCCTAAGATCACACAAAATGAGGAGGGAAAGAAAAACTATGAGTCACTTGCGCATAAAACGTTTACCATCCTCTTTGAAGGTAGAACTATAAAAATATTTTTTCTGTATCCAAATTACAATCCATATGTGATGACTATTAAAAATAGGATATTTTGTGTATCACAAATACTGTCATCAGCTGTTTTTTTTTCAGTCTGTAATGAATGTTATTTTTCCTTGAGGAAGGAATTTTCTAAATTATCTGGATCATCTAAAGCTTATGAAGTGGCAAACTGTTCTTGTCCTTCGTTGACTTACAGCCCGCCATGATTTTTTTTATATAACCATAAACACTAAATTTTGGTTGGCCTATATCGTGCATGATACTGATTCTAAGATAGCAAGGGATTAAGTGAATTTCAAAACTTCAGCTCACCAGAAGAAACCCAGAGATTATATCTACCCATATGTGTTTAAACTGCACAGTCATTAAAAAAAAAGAAAAAAAAGGTACTGTAGCTCCAAGCCTGGATGTGATCCCTGATCATCTTTGACATTTTCAAAAACAGAAAATTATTTGGCTTTATTTTAAATGTCACCCCTGTGCAGGTGAGGAATGTATCATTTAAGAGAGTGCAGGAGGGAAGAAACTGTGCGGAGGCTCACTGTCTACGGGACGTTTAATAGACTCGACCACATTCTTGTGAAATAGAAATTGGGTATTTGCTGAATCATATAGAGGCAATGATCAAAAGGAAAGCTCTTACTTACTCTTCAGAAACAGTGGGGTGTAGAGGGAAGTTTCCTGGTTTAAGAGGTAGAATGTAGGATTTGAGTCTCAACTTCATCAGTCACTAGTTCTGAGTCTTTGGACAAGTCAACTACTCCCACAGGCCTCTGTTCCCACATCTGTAAAAGGAAAGTTAACACTAGCTCTTTGGTCACTTCAAAAGCCTTTTATTTCTCAGAAAGTCATGAATACCTTATTCTCAGTCTCCCCATTTGTAAAATAGGGCAAAAATTTCATGCTCTGATAATCTCTTAAGCTGTGAGAATATAGATGTGAACCCACTTTGAAAATAAAAAGCTACCAACTTTAAGATGTTAGTTTTATTTATTCATATATTTCAAAACAATAATATATTGGGAAAGATTATTGCCTCTATTTTTCTGAAATATTTATCATTTTATGCTAACCAAGTAATAAATTAAGAAATATGGCTATACCCTAATATGTTTGAATTGGTTGGGCTATTTCTTATTTATTCACTCTATGGACATCTTATCTTTTTTTTTCTGGACAAGAGCATGAATAGGTGAGTCTTTGGACCAGTCATCCTCTAAGTCTATATTGAAAGCCTGCAGTACAGCCAATGATATAAAGGGAAAATGGCCAGATACAATTATGGTCGTCAGAGTCAGTACTTTTTCTTTTTCCTTTGGAGCAGTATCATACTATTGTCATCTGAGAAATGCGGTGACATTTCACCTCCAGAGGAAAGAAGCCTCACAGCAATTCTGAAGCAGTTTCATGCTTTCTTATGTAGAGCTCTTCTTTGTACTGTCCTTCTTCCATTGTTTATGGTTATAAATTTGGGACTACCTAAAAGGACTTCTAGACTGACTATTCTTTGTGAAGATATCTCCCCTGTCATTCCTTTAGCTGCACAAAATCCTTCCCTACAGTCTCTACTGCTACCCTTATCAAACTGAATTTATCACTATTCACTGTCTTGCCCTTTACTTTCCTACTTCTGCTCATGCTGTTCCTCCACTTGGGCATCCTTTCCCCTAGTCGAGAGTGGCAAATTCTCCATCCTTCAAAGTCTATTGAAATGCCAACTACTGATACAGAGTTGCTTGACGTTCTTGAAGGCTTGAATGTTTCCATCCCCTGAAATCCCCTAGCCTTATTTCCATATCTCATTCAAGACACTTATCACATGTGCTCTTATTGTTTATCTACCACTCTTCTCTGCCCTTTTGGATCAAAGTCCTTTGAGTGGGGGGATGTGAATTATTTCACCTTTATTTCTCTCAATATACTGGTGATATAGATATTTCATATATAACAAGGTTAAGTGACATGTGCATGTAAAACGGAGACAGAACCAAGGCTAAAGCAACATCTAGCTCAGCCATCAGCTCACTATCCCGGAGGGGTGAAAGTAGGGGCATCACACGACGTTCATCAGCTCTCTCAGACAGACGGGTTTCGTTCATCTTTTCTAAGCCCTGGATGGCTGCCATCCCTGCCCAGTAGCTGTAGGAGTGGCTGGTGAAGACTTCTACCAGTTGCTTCCCATTAGCCTTGTCTACCTCCATCTGGGGGACTGTCTGTAGCTCCTTTCCCAGGGAGATTGTTCTGATCAGAGACTTGAACTTGCTCAACTCATCCTGGCTGAGTTGCTCCAGAAGAGCCTTCAGGTTGAAGTCCAGCTGTGCAGAAGATGCCATCTTGTCCTGCGTGGGGAGCTCTCCCAATGCCTGGCCCTACCCGCTGGTTCTTACATCTTTTCATATACTAATAAGCATATATTTTTATATCTTTTTAGGAGAAATAGCAATTCAGATTTTTGCTCATTTTAAAAACGAGTTAATTGTCTTTTTATTGCTGAGTTGTAAGAGTTCTTTATATAGTCTAGAGACAGGGCCTTCATTAGATATGCGATATGCAAATCATTGCTCCCATTCTGTGAGTTGTCTTATCAGTTTAATGATAGTGTCCTTTAAGGCACAAATGTTTTTCATTTTGATGTAACCAAATTTATCTATTTTTCTCTTGTTGCTTATGCTTTTGATGTCATGTCTAAGAATCTTTTGCCAAGTCTCAGGTCATAAAGATTACCCCTATCATTTACTGTAAGAATACTACAACTTTAACTCTTACATTTGGGTCTTTGATATATTTTGAGTTAATTTTTGTATATGGCATGTAGTAGAGGTCCAGATTTATTCTTCTGCATGTAGAAATCTACTTGTCTAAGCACCACTTGTTGCAAAGTCTATTCTTATCCCATTGCATGGTCTTGAAACCCTTGTTGAAAGTCAGTTGACCACAGATATACGGGCTTATTTTTGGACTCTCAGTTCTGTTTTATTGAGCGATGTGTCTGTCCTTGTGCCAGTACCATACTATCTTAATTACCATTGCTTTGTATTAAGTCATGAAATAAGGAAAGGTGAATTGTCATTGTTTGCTCTTAGTTTTCAAGATCATCTTGGCTGTACTGGGTCTATGCGATACTACTTGAATTTTCTAACTAGTTTGCCCATTTCTACAGAAAGTAAGCTGAGATTCTGACAGGGATTGTATTGAATATGTAGATCAGTTTGGGGAGTAGTGCCATCTTAACAACGTAAATTAAGTCTTCCAATCTATAAACATGAGACGCTTTCCACTTGTTTAGATCTTTAATTTCTCTCAATAATGTCTTGTAATTTTCAGAGTCTAAGGTTTACTTCTTTGTTAAAATTTATTTCTAGGTATTTTATTCTTTTTGATATGATTCTAAATTGAATTGCTTTAATTTCAGTTTTGGATTGTTCATTACAAGTGTGTAGAAGTAAAATTCATTTTTATATATGATCTTTTATCCTGAAACCTGGATGAATTAATTTAGTAGTTCTAACAGGTTTAAAGTGAATTTTTTAGGATTTCCTATATACAAAATTATGTTATCTGCTAATACAGATAGTTTCACTTCCATTACAATCCAGTTGCCTTTCTTGTCTTGTCTAGTTGCTAAGGCTAGCACCACTAATGTAATGCTGTATGGTCATGCTAAGAGCAGATAGCATTGAGGTGGTCCTGATTTTAAGACAAAGCATTCATTTTGCCATTAAATATAATTTTGGCTATGAGTTTTCATAGATGACTTTTATCAGATTGAGGAAGCTCCCTTCTATTTTCCAGTTGGTAGCATCTTTATCATGAAAGGAAGTTGGGTTTTGTCAAATGCTTTTTCTGTGTTTATTGAGATAATCATGTAATTTTTGTTTTTATTCTATTGATACGATGAATTATATTAATTGATTTTCATATGTTCAAACCAACCTTGCCATCCTGGGATAAATCCCACTTGTTCACTGTGTACAATTCTTTCTATAGGTCACTGTATTCAATTTGCTTGTATTTTCTGGAGTGCATGTTTCAGGTTGAGTATAAATTTATATGAACCCTTGAGAAGGCAGTCCTGAAAAATGTAAACTACAAGAGCATTTGGTCTTTGACCTGGCTTTTCCACCTCTAGTATTTGTCTTACAGGTATGTCTGCTGGCATAGCATTATTTCTAAGAACAAAATAGTCACTTAATGTCCTCAATAGATTCTTGGAAACTGCAACTTTGAATGAAATGATGTATAACAAAAACAATTTTATCACAGGCTAACTCATACAAGCAAGAGTTAAATTCCTACGGCATGCTGGTCACAAAAACATCACCAAAGTTCTAAACAAAAACCCAAACACTTCTAATATTAAACACAGAAATAAATGTGAGCTCTACATGTATTTTTAAGAGATTAATAAAAACAAGTAAGAGAATTTTTTATCCACTTATTCCAATTCAGGGTTGTGAGTGGCCTGAGCTTATTATGTGGCAGCTCAGGGTGCCAGGTGGAAAGAAATCTTGGACAGGACGCCATCCTATCACAGGGTACACTCACCCAGACTGCGAGTATTTAGACACACTAATTAACCTAACATCTTTGGGATGTGGGAGGAAAGTAGAGTACAGAGAAAATCCATGCAGACATGGGTAGAGCATGCCAGCATGCAAACTCCAGACAGACAGTGGCCACTGTTTGGAATATTTTTTTTTCTCACCAATGTTAAACAAAATGATGTTGAAAAAAATGTTATTTAAGGATCTGTTGTATCTGTTGTATTTAGCAAGAGGATAAATAGAGGATGAAGGGTGGCTTAAATAGTGATACATAAAAAGGTCCATGATATATTCAGTTAAAAAAAAAAAAAAAAAGGCACACGCTGGCCAGGCACGGTGGCTCATGTCTGTGATCCCAGCACTTTGGGAGGCCAAGGTGGGCACATCACCTGAGGTCGGGAGTTCGAGACCAGCCTGACCAACATGCAGAAACCCCATCTCTACTAAAAACACAAAATTAGCCGGGCATATGGCACATGCCTGTAATCCCAGCTAATCGGAGGCTGAGGCAGGAGAATCGTTTGAACCTGGGAGATGGAGGTTGCAGTGAGCCAAGATTGCACCACTGCACTCCAGCCTGGGCAACAAGAGCAAAACTCCATCTCAAGAAAAAATAAAATAAAATACAAGGCACATGTAACTCCTGTGAGAGAAATGGGAGGTGGAATATAAATTATATTTGTTTGAATTTTCATAAGGAAACTCTGGAAAGATATTTTAAAAATCAGCAAAAGTGGAAATTAGTACAGAACATGGTAGATACAGATGGGAATGGAAGGGAGGTATTCACAGTGCTTCTTTGATAGTCATACATTTTGAACCACACAAATGTATTACTTGCATTAATTAATTCATATTTCAAAAACAATCAAAACATAGAATTTCTACTAAGATAAAATCATTGGGCAGGAAGTAGCTCTTGGTATCATCAAGTTCAAATCTTTTTTTGGTGGAGAGGCAAGTCTCACTCTGTTGCCCAGGATAGAGTGCAGTGGCTCGATCTCAGCTCACTGCAAACTCCGCCTCCCAGATTCAAGCGATTCTCCTGCTTTGGCCTCCCAAGTTTCTGGGATTACAGGCGCCTGCCACCACACCTGGCTAATTTTTTTGCATTTTTAGTAGAGACAGGGTTTAACCATGTTGATTAGACTGGTCTCGAACTCCTGATGTCAGGTGATCCACCCGTCTCAGCCTCCCAAAGTCCTGGGATTACAGGCGTGGGCCACCGTGCCTGGCCAAGTTCAAATCTTTGAATTGAATCTTTGAATTGAGAAACAAAGGTCAAGTCAGGAAAGAGGATTTGCCCCAGGATACATGGCAAGTTCTTGGCAAAATTGGGATAAATATTCACATGCTCCAATTCAAAATCAGGTCTCTGCCCACTTCTGCATTCTTTTCATGTTAGGAAATCCTGAATTTGGCTTTTACTGTGTATTATGGGAAGGGAGCATCATGCTTAAAACTAATACACTCAGAGTCCTTTCTTCCCAGTGGTGCCCTGGGTCATACGGAATATGTGTCCTACTTGGTAGCAGCCTCCACATTATCCTAATGAAGACGTGGCAGTTCTACATGCCAGAAACCCTTTATTAAAAATTCACAGAAGTAGGCCACACATGTCCACATTCTGCAATGTTTTCTTCTTGCAATCACTTTAATGTTTTTCTCTCTTCTATGAGCATTTCTTTAGAAATACTCTCTGTGCATCTGTCCACCTTGATGGTACCACGAGCACTATAATGTGATTTATATGGTCAGTAACTCTGCAAAAATAGTCTATTGCTCTAGAGATAATGGGGATGGTGTCTAAGTTACTGATTACTAAATCAGAGATAACTGTAGAGAACAAGACTTCATTCAAGCAAGTTAAAGTACTTTTTACATAAGTTTCTTAATACATTGGCCATAGATCCTTCCCAAAATGTATTAAATGGGCATAATTTTTATGCCTAGTCTCTCTTTGTGAATCTCCCCTCCCACCCATTCTCAGTCACCAAGTTTCAAAAATTACTTGCTGACTCCACCAGCTATTGTATTTGGACATGTGATTCAGATGTGACCAAAGAGAATATTCTACCCCCCTAATCAAAGCGTTTGGATCAGAGATAGGCACACAACTCAGGCTGGGACAATGAAAACGCATGGAACTTTGCTGGCACTATCAGGAAAAGCCTCACTTTCTGTTGGGTTTACTAAACTGAATGAGTATAAGTCTAGAGCTTCCAGTAGTCAACTCTGCTCCCACACCCAAACAGACCAAATGAAAATCAACAGAAGTCAAAGTCCAGGAGAAAGGCTGTCAAAGACATCTAGTTATACCTAAAATTTCATCCCCTGGTTCCCAGTTCTAAGGAAAAAAAAATAGTAGTGTTCTCTTTTTGGTGGCTATTTAGGTTAGATTTGAGTTATTATTAATTATGAGATGTTGGTATATTTTCTTATCTATAATGCTCTCCCAATTATATAGTGTATTTTTTATTCTATCCAATATAATATCCACGAAAATTGCAAGTTTATATTAAGTAAGCAGATGTTTAGCATGGTATGTTCCCTACTTTAATCTTAAATTCTCTGAAGCACTTAGAAGTTTTTCAAGAGATGAATAGTATTCTACAGGAAAAAAAAAGTAAGCACTGGAAATAACAATGCTTATAATACTTCCCACAAGTTATAAAGCACTATCGTAATGCTACCTTCACCCTCTTGCCTCCATAACAAGCTTTTCAGGTGGACAGTGTGTTATAATTTCATTTCGAAAATGAACAAAGCAAAGTTTCAAAAACCATAATTTATCAAAAATCACAGAGCTAAAGAAAGAAGGAATTGAATACAATCATCTCACATTTTTTTTTTTGTGTTTCCATTATGCCACATTGACTGAGATAAGGACAAACAAAATGTGACTGTTAAACTGAAGCATTTAATCTAAATTGTAACTTTTCATTTTCACTTAGGTTTATGAAATCATATGGATTTCCCCTTTTACCTTAATCTTTCTGTTCCACTTTCCCTCTACCAGTCCCGTCCAGAAAAATCTGTGCTCACATTATACAGAGATGCTGATTTTGCTCACGAATTTAAAAATATAATTTTCAAAACGTATTATTTATAAAGAGTACAAGAG